TTACATTCAACTATGTTTCCTTTGGCTCTGGATTGGTCGTTTTCATTCAGATGCAGTGGATTCTTAGAAATGCCATTCAGAGCACTAGGAGGAGGCCAGAGGAACCTGTTTTTTTTACAAGTTATTCTGGGGTCTCAGGTTCTACTGGTTTCAGGTTTTCAGCAAATATGGACAAAACAGTTATTTTTTATAAAAAGTTACCTACTGCAGCTTTGAACGTTTTCCAATGTTCACCCCATTACATACACGAGCTAGGAACCTTATTGATATATTAGAAACACTGGGGCCATGCTACAGCTTCAAAGTGTACCGTAGATTGGAATCACAGTTCCCCAAAACCCCAAACTTGCTCATTGTAGTGCTTTATTTTAATATTTATTCTTCAGGGCTGTTGTGTTAGATTGCATGAGTTGTACAGGTAAACATATGTTTAAAATAAACTAGTGTTTGAAATACATGCAAATGAACTTAAAGTGCAATTGGACCAGTTCACTCTACCTTTGCCCACATGTTCACCATACATTCCATTACACTGCACATGTGATTGAATTTGATGTTGATGATGATTGATTGGATTGATGGAGTAGCCACCCACGGTTATGATGCACCCCCCCTCCTATGTTAAGAGCATTTAATAAGTGTGGATCTGTGTTTGGCCCTGAGCCAGCAGACCTCAGGACAGACCTTGCTGTTGCTTGCTGTGTGTGCCTGTTATGTGTGTGGCGTGAAGTACAAACGAGTTTTGTGGTGCACAGGCTGGGTTGCAAGAGCTAGACATGTCCTCAAACCACATAATCATCTCTTCAGGCATGACACACACACACACACAACACACACACACATCACACCACACTCTGACATTCATTCAAGACAATTATTCAGGATGTCGGGAAGTGTGCCGTTTTTCTGTGTAATCCTGTTCTCTCTCTGTCCCGTCTTATTCTCTGGTCTCACCCTCTCTCTCATATTTCCACACCAACAGTGCACTGTACCAAGGACCAGTAGGTGGCGCCAGAGGACCAGGGAGCCAAGTAAGCAATCAGGGTTGCAGGCTTGTTTTCCTTACTGGTGGATGTAATTCTTTTCAACGCAATTGTTTGGTTCGGACACAACCACACGCAGGAACATTTCAGAAATGTAGGCATTGATACACAACTGTGTCAAATTAAATTATCATTTTTTCATAAAAACCAAACAAAATGTCAGACACAACATAAGAAAAAATATCAGATCATTTACAATTATTTATACCGAGAATAAGAAACCAGATACATTTGGGATTTAAATAAGTAAAAAATGACAGAAGAATCTGAAAGAATCTTCATTCAAAAGCAATAATATCATTATAATATCGTTGAAATAAATGAGAGTTGTGCAAATCATTTGTGTGAACATCATAGTCGCAACACCACGTGGCCGGAAGCGATCTGGGGTTCACTGATTACCACGCTGCAGCAGCGCTCGTGTTTCTAGCTAGAGAATGATGATTGAACAGTCTCGATTAACAAATGATTTTTTCTTTGGTATATTCAAGTGTATAGTGTTCCACCTAATAATAACTGAGATGAAAAGAGAGATGATAAGTAAAACATATGACCTATACAACGGTCGGAAGTGATCCCGAGCATCTAAAAAAAACCACAATTCTCGTTTGTCGTGGAGAATCGTTGAACTGTCTTGCCCTATGGTTCGTGGTGGTTATGTCTGGCGCGTGGTAGTTGTAACACGTACACAAAACACGGGTATAGCACCTCATACTAGAGCGAATAGGTCACACCCTGTATAGCACTAGCTTACAATAACCCATGTGTTATTCTTATCGAACTGTGACATGATGCACTCATAGTTGGCAATTCTATATAATATGAGACGTCCACATTCAGTCCCGAAAAGCAACATGCACACAAATTCATTCTTGTATATCAAGTATAGCTCGCTGTCAACAGCATGAAAAATAGTTATCCACACAGTAACACATAACTGCAAGTAAGACCGGGATTGAAGACGTTTTTCACAGCAGACATTTTGGCTGCCTGCCATTGAAGTAAATACTGGGACGGAGTCTTTATTAATGTTATTAGTTCCACCTATGCCTTTCTGCAAAATTTGGAGAAATTAAAAAAAAAAAAAAAGTTTGGTGATCCTGAAGGCTCTCACAATTCAAGTTTGCAACATTTCTTCGAAATAAAAGCTAAACTACAGTACATGTAAAGTACAAGTCAGACAGACTGAAAAGAGATCAGAAAGTTTGGATAATGAACTCTTCATCTGAGACCAAAAGCCTTTAGTGACTACAGGAAGTTATCGGACTCCACAATAGAATGCTGCTCATTCATTAAGCACATTTCTTCCTCCATCATTTCCTTGTACAATGGCACAAGAACAATACGCGCTGAGGAGAAGCCACCAGGAAACACATTTTAGTGGAAACTGACTCCCCAGCAGCACTCACACTGGCACTGGAGGCCTTTCCCTTGTAGGACTAAAAAAACGGAGCTTTCTGTTCTCACATTAACACTGATAGTTGTGGCAGATTCAGACAAAAGCCAGCTTCTTCATTTCCAGCCAGAGATGATTGATTTTGCTGTCTGTAATGACCAGTGTTGTTGAAAACGGCCCATGGTGGTCTATGCTGATTTTTAAATGTTTCTAACTCATTTTAAAACAAAAACCCTGTTTAAGAGTATGGTATCATCAAAGACAATACCACGTTGCATGTCATCATTAAATGACGTAGAAGACATGGAAATAAAGAGACAGCACTGTTATTGTGCTGTAGAGCTAGCTACTGTTAGTATTATAAGCCTGGATGTAAGAAGAAGAACTGGTTACAGCGTTGGGGGGGCGGGCCAAAGAAGTTGGACAGATTCTGAGGACTTTGTGCATATGCTTCCACACTGTGGAGCCCATAGAGCAAGTGCTTTAGAGACTTCGCCGGTCGAGCTGCTTGCTTCCAGTTAACCCCCCGCTATCTTGAATGGAGATAAAATAATTTAACAGTGCGGCTCATATAGACTTTCCATCTTATCATAGCAAATGGATAAAAAACCTTATTTCACAGGGTGCTGATGTATCCACTGTTTTACAGTCGCTTCTTTCACAATGCAAGCTTAAGGTAAAAAGTGTTTTTGAGGCAGTGTGCATTATGTGACAGTGCTGTAATTACATAGTTTAGCCACTATGTCAAATTGGCCCTGCGCTCTCCTTGGGGGCTTGGTTGTAACTGATTAAACTTTGTTCTAACAATAGCTTGTTGGACTGCTTAGCTCAAATACTTGGAGGTTGGATTTATGCTTCATTGCATTCCAAACACCTTTTCTTTTTACAAAGAGAGTGCTTTTAGGATGGCTAACCAATGTGGTGAACAGGGGTGGCTGAACAATAAGGGGCAGGACACAGCTGCTAGCATTAGCCTCAACGCTGACCTCAACCCACCTTCCACACAGCAGGGAAATACTAAAATGTTCAAATGTAACATGTGACCTCTCAAAGACTGTAGTGTGACTTGTAATACCACTGGGTTAAGCCACTGCTGTTGTTAGTAAGCTAGTTAGCTGCTAACAATCACAATGCTAACTCTTGCAGAGATAAACATACTAATCCATTTCCTACACCTTCCAAAGTCTATATATGGACCCTCACTGCTGGGCCTAGTTACGGTTGCTAAACTATGATTGGACAATTGCTGTTTGTGGGAGGGGTTTAGCAGTCAACTGTTCAATAAATTTCTTTTAATTTTCTTCTTTTGCAGAAAAACGTCTGACTCATCTGTCTGTCCATCGTCTGTCCTCCAACACATGGCCGACTCCGAGGACCCACTTTAACGCACACATACACACAGTGGAAGGATCCGGGGAAGCAAGTTCAGGTTCAAACTTCATGAATTCATCACACACCTCAAGTAAGTTCTCTATCTGTCTTTCCATCTCAAAGAGCTGCTGTGGTACTGGTGTAACTGGAGTGAGACAGCTCATACTGGTTTACCAAATGGTAGCAAAAACATTGGGGACTGGCTTGTGACTGGACACCGCTAGATTGAATCCCTTGGTTGTCGAATGTCTATTTTTTTCTTCTAAGTTCTTTCCATGATCTCTGTATTTATTGTGCAGTTGAATCCATATGAGCAATGCAAACCTTTTTTTTTTTTTCTTGGGGATGGATTACTTCAGTTGTGTTGTTTGTTGTTGCACTTGTCAGCTCAGTCAATTATATAAAGGGAACTTTATTGAGCCAGCAGCTCGGTTTACTGACTGGGGGTAAATAGTGCGAGGAGGACTGAAATATTTGAAGCAGCGCTTTCCAGCTGATGCATGGCTCGCACTCACTGAGGTCAATAACAGAGTCAGTCATATCATCATACTTTACTGTATGTTGTTTCTCTGCTGCCCTTCAGTGACAAGTGGATAGGTGTGTGTGTGTGTGTGTGTGTGTGTGTGTGTGTGAGTGTGATAATATGGTTGAATGTCACTTATGGCTGTAGCAAACAAACTGTTTTATTGTTTCATGTGAAGAGCTCTGAATGCTGTTTTAATGTATTTTATATTTACAAGCCGTGACAGTATGGCTGGTATTGTATTCTCTTAGTAAGTGTGTGTCTGTGTGTCTGTGTGTCTGTCCTGGTGACACCTAGTGTAGCGCAAACTACCACAGAAGTGGTTTTACTTTGCCAGGTGTTTCTATGTCTGTCTGTCTGACCGTGGACAGATTTTGTCAACGTGATAGCAGTCGCAAAACTGTTTGCTATCAGTGTAGCGTGCCCAGACCTTTGCACATGCTACAATGATGTTTTTCTTTTTGTTCAGTTTCTAGCTATGCATGAATGTATGCTGAAAATATTATAATTTATATCAGTTAACAAATCACCAAAATATGTAACTAACGTTTGCCCAAACTCAAAATGAGTTTGAACAACACTTAGTGGTCATGGGTTGGAATATTAACATGTTGACAGGTGTCACAGCTAGTGATCCAAATGGTCTTTTTATTTTTGTCACTTATGTCCATTGTAAACATGTTCATGATTGGGGAGTCTTTCCTTTTCCTCCATTATTATGAAGGTATTATAGAAGCAGCATAGTCACAAGTCAGCCTCAGCTGTAAATTGTGTTTAGCGCTAATTAGCTAATGTTAGCATGCTAACAAACTAAGTGTCAAACATTGTAAACGTTACACCTTTCAAACATCAGCATAATGGCAGTGACTGTGTTGGAAATCTCTCCACTCACTCATTTTTTCTTTTTTTAAGACTTTATTGCCATACTAGATGCTTTGTGAAACCACATAGACATAGTGGTGCTTCGAGCATAACGCTAACATGCTGATGTTACCCAGTTGTAATGTTACCATCCTAGTTTAGCATTTTAGCCTGCTAACCCTTAGTTACTGTAGGACAAGTCATAGTAAAAGAACAAATGGCCACACAAGGAGTTTTACATTGAACAGGATGCCAAAAATCAAAGAGTAGTCGTAAAACATGGAGTTGTTTGTTATGTGCTCTGACTGCTGTCCGAGTTGAATCTGTGTCTGGAGTGTCCGTGGATATATCGGATAACAAATGAACTGGTGTGAGCGTATGGAGACATAGAAAGTATGTATTTGTCTCTGTATATTTGTGACAGTCAATGTTGGGCAGAATAAGTGGGTTAATTGGAACACCTGTAAGCCGTCCTCAGGTACTTTTTATAACAGCCTTGTCTCGGACTGAGTGACTGGTTGACTGACTGACTGTAATTTGGTTGTCATGGTTACAGATATAGTACATAACGCTCACATTCACACACAGACACACAGACAGCAGTGTGACTCCAGGGGTTGATGCGCCTCAAATAGAAACGCAGAGATGAGTCATCCACTGAGCTACTGCAGTAGGCAAACACACACACACACACACACACACACCTTTAACAGATGTGTTTAGTATGTGAGACCATTAGGATGTCAGACGTGTTGCCTGGTCAGTCGCATCTCTCTCTGTCTCTCCTGCTGCCAGACTGATTGGAAATGACAATGTAGAGATGTAAGATAACAGGAAAAGTCTTTAATAAATCATTATAGTACTGGATAACAGAAAAGCATTGCAGCAGCTCAAGTCAGTGTAAACCAATACAGGACCTTCTCAATGAGTTTTCAACATATTTCTCTTCTTTCGATGTATTTAGTCTCTCTGCTTGTGAGTCATACTGAGGCAGCCCGAAATCAGCTTGAGGACACACAGAGCTGTTTACACAGGAGGTGAGGATGATTAGGGCGATGAAGGTGATGAGGAGGAGGTGGTATGAAGGTGATGATTCAATGAAATATTATCATTCCTGGAAAGGAAGCTGTCATCACAGCAGCAACAGTCAGCCTGAGATGAATACAGAGGACTCCAAATCATCTACATTATTGAAATTATATTCTATCACCTCTCCATACATCGTTCTGAGGCCATTCAGAGATTTTTTTATGTATTAGCATCGGTTGCATAAAGCCTGATTTATTCTGATCCTTTGTTTTTTTGTAATCCCTGCACCCCAGCAGTCAGTGGCATCCCGTTACGCTCCGTTAAAACACTGGAACCTATCGCTTAAAGCACAGCTTCACTTAGGGCTGAGCTGCTGAATGGAACAAACAAATACTATAAATAGCAGCCAGCAGTTTCAATTAATAATATCCACACTGAAAGCGATGTGAGAAGAGTGAGCAGTGCAGCTTTTGGTTATAGAGCGACATTTCCGTGATTCTCCATGACATTTCCCAGGTGGGACACATGATGGAAACCGCTTTTCATTCGGTTTGGACTTGGTGTTTGATTGGAAGCGTAAAAACAGCAACACATTGTGATTTTACCGGGAGTTTTACAATTGTTTTTTTACAATTGTATCTATTTCTTGGCCGGGCACAGATTGCCCTTTGAAATCGAGAGGATATAACAAGCTAATTAGTGAGCTTTAGAGGTGCTAGCAGCTGGATGTTTTCCACCCCCTTTGCCAGTCTTTATGCTAAGCTAACTGGCTGTAGCTTCATACTTGGAGCTTTTTTTCAGCAAGAAAAAAAATGCAGTATGCTAACAAGCTCACAATGATATTGTCAACGTTATGATGTTTAGTTAGTTTGTATGTCTGTGTGTGTGTGTATGTGTGTGTGTATATATGTATGTATATATATATATATATATATATATATATATCCTCTCTGGACTCAAGTAGATGTTGACATAAAGCATTTACTGAATAAGTGAAAATGTATCGATTCTCAAACACTTTCTAGATTTTTGTGGTTTATCCTACAACTGTTAGATAGCATTGTTGTGAACATAAACTGAGGGCTAAGATGTGATGAATACAAATGCAGATCACTCTGTTATGGTTGCATTCCTTTTATGCAACCATAACAGAGTGATCTTGCCTAGTGATTGCCTAGCTTGCAGTATATCAATATATCACAGTATATTGAATCGTAACCCCCTGTATCGTGATACGTATCGCCAGATTCTTGCCAACACACAGCCCTGCATAAGTAAAAGGATCACAAAATCCATGCAAGGGTTGTTGAGATATTTCAGTCTTGGTGGACCAATGGAAACGCCGCTATCACCATCCCCAGCGCCACAAGGCTACACAGCGCACACTGGGCAGTGCAGCAGCATGAGCGGCCACTGAGCTTAAAAAAAGTGTCCACCTTTAGATACTCAGACTGCATCAGCACAAAACCAGAGGAAGAGGGGGTCACAGTCCCGCCCACACTGTTTGATTGGCAGGTGATCTCTGGG